GAGCTACAAAGAGCATAGTTAGTTTTCTGCTGCAACTAGAAATGGCGCGCACTGAGAGAAAATCGGATAAGGCTGATTGGATTGAAGCGCCATGGGTTGAAATATCATTTCTAATTTTTTTTTAGAAACCCCTGGACTTCTCATGTAAAATCAATTAATACCTCTTACTTTTTTTTCTGACTCAATTGAGACCTTCTTTTCAATTTTGTTTGTTAAAGTCTCTAAGTCCAAATCTTCTATTTTTTCTTCTTCTTCCAAATCCTCTGTATTAAAATGCCTTAACAGTTAATATGGCATGTTTAAATATGTTGTTAGGGAACAATTAATAAAGTATGTTTGAATATGTTGTCAGGGAATGAGTGTTATTATTTATAATTAGATGAATAAAAACATTTGTTTGAATTATAAATAATAAAAACTATATGTAATTAGATAGGACTAATTCCAAAGTACCCCAAGTACCGGCAGGTTTAGTTTTGAGGCGTAAGGTAGGATTTTTTTCTTCAATTTTTCAGGAGTTAGAGTTAGCATGCTAAATAGGAATAGATTTAGTTTCAAGGCACCCAGTTTATATGGGGTGTGCTTTTAGAATGAAATAGGTACATTTAGTATTGAGATACGCAAAAATTAGTTGGAATGTACCATAACCCTTTGGACAAAAAAAATTTATAACATTAAATAACAAAAATAATAAATTACATCAAAAGTTCGTAACACCATTTGCTTCTATGTTGCATTTAATAACTTCAATTTTTTAAGGGATTACAAAAAGCTCAGGTTTTATCATCTATAAGAAAGTTATCAAAAGTGAGTTTGCAGTGCTTTCTTGTGCAAAGGAAAAGCAGGAGATGCCAAGGGTGCAAAAGTTGCATTGCATATATATATATATGTGTGTGTGTGTGTGTGAGCCGCCCATGACAATATCACGACCATTCACAACATTTTGGAAAAACTCAGACTCATACCTGAAGAGATAAAATACCTTTTTAAGTAACAATCTAAAGGTTTTGCAAAAGCCCAACAAGAGAGCATTGGATGATGTTCTCACCTTATAGGAAATACATCTTCATGAATTTGTTCTAAAATCTCTAAATCAGAAGGTTGT